GAGAAGCCAACACTGTGCAGGAGTTTGGATGTTGAAAGACCAGTTCGAATTCCTGCTTGGACATAGAAACTCACTAGGACTGGATCTACACTGCCCTATATCCCAGGATCTGACTTTCTGCAGATTATCTGGCAGTGTATATTCATGTAATCCAGTTCAAAACAGATAATCTGGCATCACATCCTGGGATATAAGGCAGTGTAGATCCAGCCTAGGTGGCTGTGGGTATTTCACTCAGGCCCAGAGGAAGGCAAAGGCAATCCCACTTGGAACAAATCTTGCCAAGAAAATCCTGTGATAGGTTTGCTTTGGGACTGCTTGACTTTAAGTTACTCAGCAACAACATGTGTACTGTGCTGTTGCTCTTGAGGTACTCTTGGGGGGAAATAGACCTTGACATATGTGAGTTGTAGTTATTGGGATGTATAGTTCACCTACAATCAAAGAGCATTCTGAACTCCACCAATGGTGGAATTGAACCAAATATGGCACACAGAACTCCCACGACGAACAGAAAATATATATCACTGATTGGTTGGGGGGGGGGGGGCAAAATGCTGTTTGCTTACCGTTGAAAATTACCTAGGGCCGCCTCTGAACATGGCCATACAGCCCGAAAAACCTACAACAACCCATTTGGATGAAGGTGGCAGGGCTTTCTGGAAAAAACATCATTGAAATGGGAAGTGGGGGCGGGGGAAGGGGAAGAGAGAATGTTTACATGGAAAGATGACTAGGAATATTAGGATTTCTGCTGTTCTCACCTTGTGAATATTCTGAGATCTAGTGTGATATATTGACATGAGTGCTAGGAGACTAGCAGTTCAAATCTCTACTATGAATATGTTTTTAATTTGTTTTATGGATTTTAATTGTGATTTTTTAAAATACCATTGATATTTAATTCTGTTTTGGTGTTTGTAGATTTTAAATTGTATTGAAATGCTTTTAATGTAAGCCACTTCAGATTCCTTTGGGAAGAGAAAAACTGATAAATAAACATAATAATAATAATAATAATAATAATAATAATAATAATAATAATACTTGAGCACAGAAATTCACTGGGTGACCTCGGCAATGCACACTCGGTCTCAGAGGAGAGCAATAGCAAACTCTTCTGAACAAATCTTAGAATTCATGCAATTTGACAGCATTTTAGCTGCCAGGCTTCAATGTTATAGAATCCTGGGAGTTGTTGTTTGATGAGGCACAAACACTAACAAAGAAAATGAAAGACCTTTTAAAGCTACAACTCCCAGGATTCCATAGCATTGAACCATAGTAGTTAAAGTGGTGTCAGACTACATCCATTCTACAGTGTAGTAGAAGCACATCAGGACTATTCTGCTCAAAGTTTATTTCTCTCTTAGGCCCCTTCTACACTATCATATAATCCAGATTATCAAATCAGATAATCCACATCATCTGCTTTGAACTGAATTATATGAGTCTACACTGCTGTATAATCCAGTTCAAAGCAAATAATCTGGGTTTTATATGGCAGTGCTCAGTCTTGAATTTGCAACCTAAAAAAAAAAGACTGGGTTCCACTCTTCAAACGTTTTCAGTTTTTCACGGTGTCCTGGTCCCTAACCTGTCAAATAAGTGAGGGAAGCCAGTATTGATACAGCTCCAGTTTAGCATTTGTGTGGGGATCCTATGCAGATGTGCGTTTACTGATTTTCCTGTGGCACCTATTTCTCATAGGCTCAAGCTCAAACAAAAGGATGTTGTTTGAAGTTCAGTGGGAATTCAGGCACACACAGCCCCTCCGTGTGTTTCCTCGTTCTTGTTCTTGGCCAGTTTTTACTGAAGCATTTGACCTACACTGGCTCCATGATTCAGAATCAAGGAAGCCTTTGACAATGTCAAGTTTCCACCAGCCAGGTTTCAAATCAAATGACATACTGTGGACACAGATGGTCAGTTTTCCTATTTCTTGTAAATTCTTAATAATTCCCCTTCATTCGCTTCATGCCCTTGGTAATGTCCTCTCTTCGTTGCTCTAAATTTTCTTATGGCATATTTCTTAATGTATAGAACTCATTAGGATCAATGAAAGTTATTACCAGTTTGAATGTATTAGTGTGACAGCCAATTTGTAAAATGGGTTGCTGTGAGTTTTCCAGGCTGTATGGCCATGTTCCAGAAGCATTCTCTCCTGACATTTCACCAACATCTATGGCAGGCAACCTCAGGTATATTGGAAATTTGCTTAAAACCAAATACTCCCTAAAACAGTTTGCAAAGGTGGAGTGGAACAATAGCCTCTGTAATAACTAAAAGAAAGAAAAGAGGAAAGGACAGAAAAGGAAATGATGTACATGGGGTATTCTGTATTTACAGATCAGCCGGTCATTGTATTCTCTGTCTGTGCAAAGGAACTTTTACCTGTTGTTAAAAACACTTCTAGTTTCTCATCTAGAAGTAATTACATGGACAAAAATGTTCTAAATAAACAAAGCTGAGGCTATTCTGGAATCTTCTGAGCATAACTTGGAGGCTGTAATAGTTTAGGATAGCAGCCAAAAGCAGAAAAGATTGATTACAAAGAGTATCATTATTGAGTATCCTCGAGGAAGGGAGAAGAATGGGTCAGAAATTTTAAAATGAATGACTGCAAAAGAAATCCCGCAACAACCCGCTGCTGGTTTTGCATTGCGGTACCAAAGCTATTTTTGTGACAAAGTGTCAATATTCAGATACATAACTTGTGCTGTTTCTCCAATTGTTACATCCCTGAGGTAAGCCACTTTCAGATGGTTATTTGCCTAATTTCTTAGCAACATCTGGCACAGCTTGACAGATGGACCCTCCAAGTCATGTGGGAAATATCCACAAGAGAAAGAAACAAATCCAAAAACATCCAGCAAGGAAATTCTCCACAGGCCCAACAACAGACAAACCTTGGGTCAAGATGGATAGATCTGTGGATTCCATTTTCTCCCATATTTGATTTGTTTAAACAGCTCAAGTTCTGTCAAAGGCTTTCATGGCCTGAACCCCTGGGTTGTTGTGAGTTTTCCGGGACGTATGGCCATGTTCCAGAAGCATTTTCTCCTGCCATTTTGCCTGCATCTATGGCAGCCATCTTTAGAGTTTGTGAGGAAAATTGGGTTTATATATTTGTGGAAAGTCCAGGGTGAGAGAAAGAACTCTTGTCTGTTGGAGCTAGGTATGAATATTTCAATTGACCACTTTGATTAGCATTTGAGTTTTTAGGCGTTTCTTGTTACTGCCTGGGAGAATCCTTTGTTGAGAGGTGATTTAGCTGTCCCAGTGATTCCAGCCATTACCTCACAACCTCTGAGGATGCCTGCCATAGATGCAGGCAAAACGTCAGGAGAGAATGCTTCTGGAACATGGCCATACATCCCGGAAAACTCATAACAACCCAGCTCAAGTTCTTTCTGACTATAATGTTTGGAACTTTATTGTCAAAACCAAACTAGGCTTAATTCTCAACACTCTGGTCAATTTCAGAAAGTAGTTTTTTGAACAGGGAGACCATCATGCAATACTTATCTGCTATTTCGTCATTAATCATGAAGAAAGCATCCGGGGAAAAAAGATAATCAGCTATAAATATGTTTGAACAGTCTAGGTAAAGATTCAAAACCAGAGTTTTAAAAGCACAGGTTGTCCTCTCATCTATATCTGCATTGTTTCCTCCCACTTTTGCATTTTGTTAAAAATATGCTTTCTGTAACATCTATGAAAAAACTTTTTCAATTTTGGAGCATTCTTATTAGAAAAAACAGAATCCTTACCCATTTCTGTCCATGTGAACCAACATTTTATTTCCCATGATTTCTGAGGACACAATTACTGTTAAAATTATGCTTTTAATCTCATGCAGCCACCACTGAAAGTGTACATTTACCTGGAGGCAGGATGACGCGTGAAAAGCTTGTACACACGTATGTTGCATGTTGCTTTTGTCATGTGAGCCTGCGTGAGAATAGTTGCTTGGTGACAAATACTGAAAAATTAGAAGGAAAAATGAATTTGATTGCTCAAAAAGATTCAAAGACCACACCTAGCAATGGGCTGCCAATGAGTGGTTGCCAATTTGAGAGCAGTTTGGAAGGGTAAACAATGAGCAAGGAATCAGTTGGCTGTGAGAGGCCTGGTGACAGGGAAGCTGTGATTTTCCTGGGGCAGTTTTAGACCAAAGTTTGTTCTTCACATAAATAGTATAGTGGGTCATAACCATCAGGAAAAAAATGCTGTTGTCCCTCCACATGTGCATTTTGACTTTTTGCAGGTTTCATTACTCATTGATTTGATTAAAATCTTTTCTCTACAAATCTCTAGTGTGACTATTATAGTCGAGGACCAAAAGATTTCAAGACAGAATACCTCTTTAGGAATCTAGGTCCTTCAATGCAATTCTATATCAGCTTCCAGCAGAAATCAACCATACAGTCATGCTGGAAGACCCAGAAATCCCTAGACAGGTGTAGGTATCTCAGTATTCCCCTAACCTCGATCAATCCGAAGAGCTTACTATAACTTGCTGAGCTTACACAATTTTGAGAAAGTATAGCCACTTGTACAATTATTTTTACAACATGATGCTGGCCTATATTTCTGTTGCTGAAGATCAGGCATAAGAAAGTAATGAAGGCCCATGTGAACAATTTATTGAATCAAATGAAAATGAGGTGTGATGTAAGTGTTGTACCGCTGGTGCAAGATGTTATACCAGCTCCAGGCCATAATCCCACCTTGGCTCCCTGGTGTCATGTTGCATTTTGCATAAGAACTGCTGTTGCACATTGCCTTTTCACGCCAGAAAGGGAATAATTCAAAAAACGTGGAACTGCAACGTAAGAGAGGTCTATGCCATAGGATTACTGTCCATTTCTAGGGTGAACCACGATCTCAATTTCTCCCGCATAGTTTGAAGCATTATCTGGTAGACTGAATTTTCAAGAGAACAGTTGAGAGTCTTGGCTGAGTAAGGGTAACACAATTATAATTAAATAGTGACATTCGCTTTTTAAAAATGTATTTATTTTTTATTTTATTACATTTTTATTCCACCCATTCCCTAAGGAGCTCAGGGTAGCATACATAGTCCCCTCCTCCATTTTTGCCTCACAACAACCCTGTGAGGTAGGTTAGGCTGAGAGTGTGTAACTGATTCCAACATCACCCAATGAGCTTCAGAGCAGAGTGGAGATTTGAACTGGGGTCTCCTGGTATTTAATCCATCTCTCTACCCACTAGGCAGTGGCCTTGGCCATAAATGGTTCCTCATGTTCCTGTCTGGAGGTCCCTGTAGATAGATACAGCAGGTAATGGCAGAACCTTTGCTATGCTGTCAGGCTTGCAGGACTTGGGAGCAAGCAGTCTTTGCTAACACAAAAAATAAAAATTATCCAATATTGAAATTAGAGATTGTCACTAAGATCAATGTGACATTTTTAAAATATTTAATATTTGATCCATTGGCAATATTTACCAGTCAGTTGACTGGCGTGCAAGTGTTTCCTTGTAACACTGGTTCTCAACCTGTGAGTCCCCAGATGTTTTGGCCTTCAACTCCCAGAAATCCTAACAGCTGATAAACTGACTGGGATTTCTGGGAATTGTAGGTCAAAACACCTGGGGACTCACAGGTTGAGAACCACTACCTTAGTACCTTGGAAAAATGAAGCATCACATTGAGATTCTTTCATATTTCTGTGAGGATGCATGAAAGGGAAACCAATAGAGCCAATACTGTGGTCATTGGAAACACTGAAGGTTGCAGTAAAAGTCCCAAATGTCAAAAAGGCTAGCAATACTAACAAAAAAAAAAAGTTTGAAATATGTTTGGCCCACTTGAAGCAAAAAAAATAAACCCACAAAAATTCTTTAAGCAACCAACAAGCCAGGACAGCCTCATATGGGGAGATGACAGCTAAAAAAATATGATCTTGCCAGTTACCATCCTGCATATAAGTATCATAAAACAAATAATTGCTCTGAAGCAGAAATAGCAAGATGTCTATAGCACAGGAACAGGATGACAAAGTAATTTTATGAGCACAAAAAGCTCTGGGTGAAATAAAATAGATCATCTCCTGTATGTCAGACTGAAAAAAAGGGTTTGTAGAACAGGAAGAAAAGACCAATAGGCTTTACTCCACTGCTTTGAAAAGATTAATGGGTTTTGTGGGGGTATGGAGGAGGGTCTTTTACTAGAAGAAGCTGTCTGGAGACAGAAGTGCAGCAAGAGATGAAGGAAAAAAAAGCTTTCCCAAATAGACAAAAGGGAAGAGACGACATGATACACTCTGTCTATAAAAATACAGATGTATGTTTTTTTTATTTAGACAAAACCCTTCTATATTTAGAGATTAATTAGAGAAAGCAGGTGTTAAGACTCTACTTAATGGCTTCTCAATTGTTCCACCCATATGATATCAAAATACCATATGGATATTTAAGACCGTCAAAAAAGACACAACAAAGTCCAGAAGTGCTGAGCACTTGAATGCAGAAGAGCCAGCCAAGCTTATGAGGGACCGTAAAGGGGATGATAATAACAGCAACAGTATCAAGCTATTTCACACTAGAGAATGGATCCGCTTTAAATCCGGTTTCTGCCTCTTGCAGAATTTGGGGGTTTGTAGTTTAGTGAGGCTGTTAATAACCCTCCTAAACTACAAATCCCATAATTTTGCAAGAGGCAGAAACTGGATTTTAAGTAGATTCATTCTCTAGAGTGATGAGGTTGCAAGGCTCTCTAAAGTAATGTGGACTTTAAAGTGATATTCATTCCACACTGTGAAAATCCCTGGAACCAAAAAGGTAAAAATCAACATAAATCCCAACAAACATTCATTAAAATATTGCTAATGTTTTTCCCCCCTAATATAACACTGTTTTGTTAAAATCCAGGCCATAAATCCTGCACAAAGTTATCTGTGCGCAATTCCTGTTGATTTTCACACGTTCCATTCATTTCAACGGGACTGGTGTGTGGGTAACTTTGTGCAGGGCTGTAGTCTCTTAAAGTTTATTATGCACTAGAAATATGAGGCATTAACTGAAGCTAACAGCCATAGCAGCGTATTTGGGAAGCTTTTTAAAATCGGCAGATGTCTCTTGATCCGAGAAATTCTGTCAGTCCTGCGAATTTTGCTTCCTCTTTAGCAGCGCGGTCAACTGAGGACTCGTAATATTGACGGCCTAGCTAATAAAATCTGATAACTGTACAATGCAAAATTATTGTGGCAAGGCAGCCACACTCAAAATGTTCTGTGGCAAGCTTTTCCTCCTCCTCTTGCTCCTCTCTTGTAAACTCCAAATGACTTTGAGAGTCACCTTTCCGACATTCAGGAGACAGAGAGATAGGGACTCTTCCACAGAACCGTCTTTGCATATCCTTGCCAAATATTTTCTCTAAACTAAGTACAGAATTTGGCCCTGAACAACCATGGGAACATAGGGGCCCGGTTTTAAACATCCATGATTCACTAAAAAAGCATCCAAAACACTAAACGTACAGCCAGACTACAGTACAATTAGTAAAAGTGACATTTCTATTAAAATGAAAGGATTCCATTAGGCTAAAATCTATATACAATGTTAGGGTTCCTTATAGACAGTAAAATTATCTGTTAAATTATTATTTTAAGGGCACTATTATATAAATGTGTCAACTAATTTTCCATCTTCTCTTTGGCTCACAAATACACTAAAATACCAATAAACATTATTTAGAACTTTGATAATTATATAAATAGGATACATTACAAATGGAAGAAAATACAAGACAACTCTTTAGCATGGTAAATCTTTGCATATAAAGAAGCGAACAGTTCATATAGAGAGAAATGAACAGTTATCTTGCTGGAAAACTATGACATATAATTCCTCCCCAACCCCATTTAACAATAATGTACACAGTCTACACAAATCAAATCCTAAAAAATACAACAATAATATTGCCTATTACAACAACTCAGCTACAAGTCTACTACAATCCCCCTGATATGACCAACTAAGGGGGCATACATACAACTACTAGGTGGTTCTCCTTAGAATTTGTCCCTTACACTTTTGTGCATCAGAGAAGTACCAGCAATAAAATTTAAATATTTTCCTACGTTTCTAAGACTCTACCCTTTTAAAAATGTTTATTTATCCAATTTTACCTTGGATGCCACATGTTATTGGCCACCACATGATTTATAGTTTGACAGACACATTGGCTTCTCCAGACCCCAGTTCAAAATGTGGGCACAATCCAAACATGCTGGACACAATTGCCTCAAAGTTAAGATCTCTTAAAGCCCTGTTATTTAGCTGCTTTAAAAATGCTTAACTTTGGCTTGGTTGTGCCAAGTAAAATTAGCAGCAAACCGGGCACAGACCAGTGGCGTGTGTCTGGCATCATGCATTGATCTGTGAATGTGCTCCACTGCAATGAATGGGATAAACAGCAAAACAGTGGGCCTAGAATGGGAGTGCTGGGGTATAATTTACCAAGTAATGCTCTGATGGATCCATATGTTGCATGTTGTACTGTATATACTCATGTATAAGTCGATCTCATGTGTAAGCCGAGGGCAGGTTTGGGGGCCAAAATTAAGAATCTTGATACAACCAATGAACTAGTGGCAGGTCATTCTGCGAAGAGGCACCAATGGCAACTCAGGGCTCAGTTGCCTGTCGGCCACTACCATTCCCTGCCGAGGCATTCAAATAGGCCCAAAGCACCCCCATCTCAGAGAAAGAAGAAGAAGTTGGTGCTTCTTTTAGATTCTCCTGGGATGGGCTAAGCTCTTGCCTTTCACCAATCGACTCAGAGGAGGGGGTGGTTCTTTTTTGACAGGGTTCCCATTTTTTTGGGTTGATTTTTTACTTTTTAAAATCATGTCAAAAGTGACTTGAGAAACTGCAAGTCACTTCTGGTGTGAGAAAATTGGCCGTCTACAAGGACGTCGCCCGGGGATGCTCAGAGGTGTTATCATCCTGTGGGAGGCTTCTCTCATGTTCCTGAATGGGAAGCTGGAGCTTGACAGATGGGAGCTCACTCCATCTCATGGATTCAAACCACCAACCTTCAGGTCAGCAGTTTAGCCGGCAGAAGGGTTTAACCCACTGCGCCAACGTTGCCCCTGATTTTTGACTAAAACTTCTAGACTCATACAAGAGTATACAGGGTAAGTATTTTAACATATCAACATAGACAAAAAACAGTCTCCACAAAAGCAGTCCTTGACTAAGAATACCTCTGCACTCGAGAAGATACTATGAACTACTTTTAGGCGTTATCACAATTTTATTTATATCATATACATTCTTAACTGGCTATCTTAGTACATTTAGCTTCCTGCTACCTGGAATTACTGGGTTTACATAAGGTCAAAGATACATTTCAAGATAATACATTCCCTACCCCCAATGTTAAAGTAACCTACTAATATGCATATATGTTTTAGTAATCTAAAGGAGTAATTCTATCATTGTTTTAAAAGACTGTGTTTTGGATGAATTAAATGTTTATAAAGGGATTACCTTAAAATGTGTGCTACAGAACTGGGTTTTTGTTGGTTTGTTTTTAATTTAAAGCCAGTACTGGAAAATAGAGCTCTAGAGAAGTGAAACAGGTCATTCAAGTAGATTACAGGTCTTGCCCCAGTCTTTCTATTTCCTCCACAAGGAAATCAATGTCAGACTTGGTAGCTGCGGGGTTTGAAACAACCATTCGGAAGAAATTGACTTTGTCTGCATGAGGCTGGTATCCAACCATCGTGGTACCCGATTCCATCATCAGAGCCTTGATTTTGGGTGCCACCTTTCAATTCAAGCAAAGAAGGAAAGAAGTTTAGAAGCCAGTTTCTCACTATTTAGATTTAAAATATATTTTTTTTCAAGATGTGGATGGTTGCATCTATGGACATAGAGGGCCAATAGTAGTCTCCTCTATCAATCAGATAATCCAAAATAAGGCTACTACTTTTGATGGGAACATAACAGAATAATTCTGACTTTTTAATGTTTTTTAAGGTATCCACTCATTGTGCCGTAGCAGCTGAGTTGTTTTGAAAGAGGGCTTTTGTCATACATATTTTAAGTGCAAAACCAAGAAAGCTAGTGCTAACATTTATACAAATGTTAAAATAAGATGTACCCAGATCAGAACTCAGATGGCATGCTTAAAAATACCCAAATGAGCTATTAGGGCCCATGATCACTTCCATCCAAGAAGGTAAGAAGTGGCTCCTTAATGTGTTATGCTTCACATCTGAATTGCAATGAGACATAGATTGGTTGTCTCGCAGACTACATTGTGATCATACTGCCTCTAAGGGGTTGCCACTGAAGAAATGATTCAACCTGTGCTTGGCACTGTCATAGTTCAAACATATATATCTATATCTATATAAATAAAAATGTTCGTTTGTGGGATTAACAGAACTCAAAAACCACTGGACAAATTGACACCAAATTTGGACACAAGACACCTAACAATACAATGTATATCCTTCACTCAAAAAAATTGATTTTGTCATTTGGGAGTTGTAGTTGCTGGGATTTATAGTTCACCTACAATCAAATAGCATTCTGAACCCCGCCAACAATGGAATTGAACCAAACTTGGCACACAGTTCTCTCATGAGCAACAGAAAATACTGGAAGGGTTTGGTGGGCAGTGTCCTTTGGTTTTGGAGTTGTAGTTCACCTACATCCAGAGATCACTGTGGACACAAACGATGGATCTGGACCAAACTCTACACAAATACTCAATATGCCCAAATGTGAACACTGATGGAGTTTGAGGAAAATAGAATCTTGACATTTGGGAGTTGTAGTTGCTGGGATTTATAGTTCACCTACAATCACAGAGCATTCTGAACCCCACCAACGATAGAATATATATATATTCATTCCAGTAGCTAAGGAATTTGTCAAGGGCTCTTCTTAAAGAACCCAAATAGTACCATTCAGACAGAAGAGCATGGCAGCAGATAACTCATGGTAAGTTAAAGAACCAATAAGTAAGGAAAAATAAAACCTGTGTGAGAATGACTCAACCCTACCAAAACAACAGTCAAATAAGAACTGAAGACATGTTGAATGACTGCTGAGAATGGGCAGGGGAGACAAAAAACCAGAGGAACACCTCTGAATATACTTGTTTACTTTTGTTTGCTTTACATGCTCTACTCTTCCGTTGGCTTCATTAATTATTATGTAGCTCTATTGTATGCTTCCTGCAGGGGACCTGCACTGAAATGTTATCTGTATATTATTCAAACAAAATAATTACCCTATGTAGTTTCTCTCTTCTTTCCTCTGAGTCTGGCATCCCTCTGAGACTGGGTGGAATGTACCAGAAACAAACATTTGTGTGTTCGGGCTGTACCAATGTAAAAACAAACAAACAAACCATCCATCAGAATGGCACGCAAATAAAAGTTGACACCATCCTTCTACTCCCCAACACAACAAATGCACACTTTGCACTTATAAGTGCTTACCATTCCCAGCCTTGCCTTTTTGCCTCTTCTGTGCTTAGGAAAAGGGGTCCAGGAAGCCACTAAACAGGTGAATGGCTCAGTAGGATCAGCTAATCAGCAGCTTCCTATCTCATTTCAGGGCTAAAACCTGAGATTACTAGGTATGCCCTTATGAACTCACAATGGGACAAGACCTCATGAAGTCATAGCAATAGTTGGAGCTATTCTGTTTTAGCTACTGCGAGGGCTACTACAACAACAAGGCCCGTGAATTACAGGATCACAAGAGTTGGAGGAGCCTCATGGGCCATTGGGTCCAACTGCCTGCTCAATGTAAGATCAACAGCAAGTAGATGTACTTAAAGCCTCACTCAGGAAAATCACTGCTGTTTTACAGTACTTAGCTTAAGACTGACTGGTGCATCTCGTTCCCAGGATACCCAGATAAATCAAAAGTGACTTGTGGGCCATGGCTTACCTCTCCTTTGAAAACCATCTCAAACTCCTCTCTGTTTTTAATTTTATTATACAGGTATTCTGACAATTCAAGACATTTGTTGATTTGACTTTCGAATCCCACTGTGCCCTGTTTTGGAAAAATAAAATAATTTTTACATTCAGTTCCATCCTCTTCACGTATCCTCCAACTGCCATTGTATATAAACACTTTAGGTTTAGATTCAAATACATGTTTTCTGGTGACTGTAGTTAAATCTGAAATTAAATGACATATGAAACACTTCTCATATTTTGAATTTGCATATCTCAAATCCTCTGTGTGATTTTACAAATTGTGTTACAGTAATTAATATGCACAGAATGCAAACTTTTCACAATTGCAACTGCAAATATGCTATTCAAACATATTCAAATAGTAAATATAGTTTAGTCAGCAAAAAGAGAGATTTTTAGCACTGGACTTATAAGCACATGCATATATGTTGAATTTTACCTGAGCAAAGAACCATGGCTTTCCCATATTATTATTTGTGGGAACAATATTAAGCATCTGTTTATTGGTAGAGTTCTGAGGGCCAAATCATGAAAAGCCAATATTATAGAAGTGAGTTTGCTAAATACCCCCAAAGACTCTTCTCAAAAATGTTTTTCCCTTAAAGATATAAATCTGTAAAGCGGGCCTTTTGGATTCGTGAGCGGGAGTCGGTTCTGGAACCACCACCACACCGATAACAGAAAAGGTGGAAGGCCATACTCCATATTATTAAAAGACAACACTGCCCATGCATCCATGTGCGTGACACTGCCCTTTTTAGGTATGGGCCACAACAACCCAGTCAGTTGAAACCACAGATTGGGAGCCTATGGATCAGGAGGAGTCACTGCAACATCAACAACATTTCTTGTTTAAGAGTTTAAAAACTTACTCTTAAGCTAATATGCTTCGAAGCAATTCTCCCTGACCTTAGTGGAAGTGCCTTCTGAGTAAACCTGTAAATGACTGCTTTATCTGCTACCTATATTTAAATGTTTACCTTCGCTTTCCACATCAACCAGAATTTGAAGATGTCCACATGTCGGCCACACTGTATTGCTTTATCTCCAGTATCATATGTTATATCATATTGCTTGTCCTGCTGGAATAGATATCCTGCACACATCTGGTTGCAGCCCTGAAGTATACCCTGTTGCAGAAACAAACAAACAAAAACAGTCTCTTTAAATATATGAGATCTCAAAATGTAAAGGTAAAGGTTTCCCCCTGACATTAAGTCTAGTCATGTCCAACTCTAGCGGGTGGTGCTCATCTCCATTTCTAAGCTGAGGAGCAGGCATTGTCCATAGACAATGATCATGATCATGTGGCCGGCATGGCTGCATGGAGCGCCGTTACATTTCTGCCAGAAATGTGAGTATTGATCTACTCACATTTGCATGTTTTTCAATTGCTAGGTTGGCAGAATCTGAGGCTAACAGCAGGAGCTCACCTTGCTCCTGGAATCAAACCACCAACCTTTCAGTCAGCAAGTTTAGCAGCTCAGTGGTTTAACCTGCTGCACCACTGGGGGCAATAGATAAAACCTAGCAATAGATAAACCATGGCATCATATGTATTACATGAGTACACCACTCTACTTATATGTGGCAATTCCCAAAGAAGGAGAAATTTGATTTTCAGGGACATTTGGATTTATCATTCTGTTTCCATCTCAACTAATTCCCTCACTTGAATGACCTGCAAACTTCTGGGATACACATGATATCACTTGTATATATAAGACCAATTCCTCTTGATCTCAGAGCTGGGAGTAAATAGTATAATGATGACTTTAATGTCAGCATTAGCCCTGCTGTATACTTAGCAACACAATGGGACCACAGAATCAACTTTTAAGAGACTGATCCTTTGTTAGTATTGATTGTCACACTCTAACACCTCTAGAGGTCACTCAAAACAGAGAATGCAATATCCAACCAAACCTTTTCCCGAAGAAGAATAGCAGAACATTGTAACAACACTCCCATCATCTTGTGTGGATTCCATGTGACTGAGTTGGCTCTGCAAAAGAAGTGAATAATACGCTTAGAAGAAATGGTGTATAAGCAATACAGTCATGCCTGATCTTGAACCAGGTCACTGTGGACATAAGTACTAGAACCCTACCTAGCAGGTGAAAAACAGGACATGTGAAGCCAAGCAGCATCGGAGTGTAGTGAAGAAGGCCAAAGGTATAAATAAGGAAGCTAGAAATGCTACAGCAGGCATGAGCAAACTTTGGCCCTCCAGATGTTTTGGACTTCAGCTCCCACAATTCCTAACAGCTGGTAGGCTGTTAGGAATTGTGAGAGTTGAAGTCCAAAACACCTGGAGGGCTGAAGTTTGGCAAGGTCTGGGGTACAGTTTGCATTTGCCTAAGCTTACTGGAAAGGGCAAGTTTTCCAGTAAGCTTAGTTGAGTACAAACTAATTTTGTTCTTTGAACTCAGTCTGCTCCAGGGGAAATAAGCTGAGGATAAATGGGAAAGTGGGGGGAGGAAAGAGAAAATGGGCCATTTTAGGCCATTTTAAAAGTACTGTATCGCTTTAATTGCAAGAGGTGCCCTAATTTCAGTACCAAGATAACCAACAAAAATACATAAGATAACCTGTGATTCATTCCATTTTTAAACATGTTTATATAAGAAGAAGTGTGTCTCAGAGCTGAAAAAGTACATTAATGGGAAAGTAGAGGATTCATCAGGACTATCTCTGCCAATTGGGACAACTATGATATGTAGACCACCAACAACATTTTGTCAGTGCTGAAAATAAGTGCTTCCAAAATGAGTTGGTGCTTTCCTTGAAAAGGAAAGTCCTATAGTATGCCCCCAATGTGATGATCTTTGTTTGTTTGAAGCAGGGCTAACAGTGTCTGATAATTTCATATCATAATACCTCCAAACTGGGATGCCGAACAAGACAAAAGTTAAAGTGTGACTCAATGGCATATTGATTTCACATACCTCAGAAACATTTGGAGACAGTGATTTGCAATTAAATTTGTTAGGTTTGTTAGAATTGTTTCTAGAAGCGTGGGCTGGTTCTACACTGCCTTATATCCAAAGATTTGATCCCAGTTTACTGTCTTATCCCAGATTACCTGGCTGTGTAGACTCATACAATACAGTTAATCTGGAATCAAATCCTGAAATATAAGGCAGTGTAGATCCAGGCTCAGTCTTTCAGAAATAAAAGTACTATACCCACTAATCTGCACAGATCTGACACTAATTATGATTCATTACATTATCATCTTATCAGTGTTGTTCCTTAAACACCAAAAATATTTCCCCTCTCTAGGAGTTGTAGTCCAGGAATAGGAAATTGGAAATATGCAGGGATTGGGATGCTCTCAAAGAAATCCAAAGAGAAGAAAGCTTGCATCTTGGAAGCAGTGCATTTGGATCTTCCTCCTCTCCTAAAGGCCCTGGTCTAGGGGATGCTGAGAGCTGTAGTTCAGAAGAGTGTGTGGATATACTATTGTGTGTTTTGTTTGCCAGGGGGAGTCATTTTGCACATGCACTGTAGCATCTTTTTGCTTTTTGACATTTTCAGTCCCTTCTTCTGTGTTTTTTCAGTATTTTTTATGAATAATGGTCACTAATTGTCCTGGTAGGTGTATTGTGTCCAAATTTGGTGTCAATTCGTCCAGTAGTTTGAGTTATATTAATCCCACAAACGAACATTACATTTTTATTTATATAGATGCACACACACACAAACATTTTAAAGATTCCCAAGCTTTCCTAGATATTTGTGAAATGTCACACATGCCTGGAAAGAGTTACATAAATGAATGAAAATGCAAATAAAAAGGGTTCATTACCTTTCTATTCCATTCAGTTTATGGCGATGCTTTCTGGACATTAGTAATCCACCTCCCCAAGCAGCCTGAAAGTAAAAAGGGAAAAAATGAAGGAAAAAACCCCCCACAAAACAAGTTCTCAGTAGTTTTCCAATATTTATATTCCCCAGTTTCCTATGATATCAATCTTGTAAATGCTTTGGGCATGAATATGTGATAAACACATGCAGGTTGGTTAATTCACTTTTGCTAAAATAAAAAGGTAGGAGACTTTTTCTTAGATCCTGACACAATAATTAATGAACAGAGCCACTTCATAATAATAAAAGTATTCAATCCATAAACTCATGTCTGTTACTCACAAGTAAGCGCCATTTGTCTGCATGACTATTCTAAAGGAAGTCTCTCTAAATTCACTGGAGCTTATTTCCAGGGTCCCTTCCACACAGCTGAATAAAATCCCACATGTTCTGCTTTGAACTGGAATACGTGGCCATATAGACTCAGATAACCCAGTTCAAAGCAGACATTGTGGGATTTTTTGCCTTGATATTCTGGGTTATACGGCTGTGTGGAAGAACCCCAGGTAAGTGAATACAGAATTTGCTGTCTTGGTTACTTACATCAACATGGAGCCAAAGGTTGTATTTTTCACAGATGTCTGCTATCTCATGAATTGGATCAAAGGCCCCATAAACAGTTGTGCCTGCAGTTGCATTCACATAAAGAGGCGCATATCCCTACAAGGTGAAACCAAGGGCAGATTGATTAGAAAAAAATTACAAATATCTAAAATGACACTCAAACCAATTTAAAGTACAACGGATGCTAATTTTAGTCAGTTCCTGTTATGCATTTCGTAATTTATTATTTATTTATTTCATGCATTTCTACCCGCCCTTCTCAACCCCCGAGGGGGGACTCAGGGTGGCTTACAAAGGCACAATTCGATGCCAGCATAAACATAACAATGGATAAAACGTGTAAACAGCAATTATAACAATTAAGACAGTCAGTTTATACATCAAAATCAATAAAAACAATAAAAACAATCTAATGGTCACATTTTGTTTTCTTTCTTGAGTTCCTCTCAGATACAGGGAAAGTGATAATATGAGAGTGTCTAATAAACAGTATCATTCATTCAGTATCATTCAGAAAGTTTAATTCTGTATACCTAAAAACAGAAAACAAATGGTAACATATAGAGGGAGATATCATCACACCATGCATTTATGCAGATACCGGAAATCCATGCAGAGAGTTGTTGGGAGAATGGAGTTCACTATGTGTAGAAAGCCAGCGTATGTAAACCCAGCGTGGTGTAGTGGTTTGAGTGCTGGAGTAGGATTCAAATCCTCACTCAGTCATGGAAACTCACTGGGTTCCTGTCATGCCTCCAGAGGCTGCAATTTACTGCCTGTGCCTTTAAGGTTGGTGAGGGGGGGGGGGGCAGAGCCAGTTATATTTGTCCATTAGGATTTGCTCGTTAGAATTAGAAGGAAGCAGAGGAAGGTAAACGGTGCATAGAACTTCACCTCACATAGGAGTTGTATTTAGCATAGTATTTTTTATTTCGTATCAAAAGCATTGCATAAATTAGTATAAAACTGATAAAAATAGAAGGAGCGTAGGCAGCTAAATATCTTTTGACCAAAAACGGGCAACAGCAACGGCATTGTCTGTAGCCTCCAACAATTCTTCCTCCGTACATGAGGCAGGGCACAGTGGACAAGCATACAGATGCAGAGTTGTCTGTTCTGCTCCACAGTCACACACGGTGTGGGATTCTTTTAGGTAGTGCCGTTTTGCCAGGTTGTCTTTTGATCTGCCCACTCCACTTCTGAGTCTGTTCAGGGGGAAGTCACAGGGAGAAGGGAGCAAGCTTGTTTACTACTTCCATGGAGACTAGGATGCGGAACAATGGCTTCAAACTACAAGAAAGGAGATTCCATCTGACCATGAGGAAGAACTTCCTGACTGTGAGAGCCATTCAGCAGTGGAACTCTCTGCCCCGGAGTGTGGTGGAGGCTCCTTCTTTGGAAGCATTTAAACAGAGGCTGGATGGCCATCTGTCAGGGGTGCTTTGAATGCAATTTTCCTGATTCTTGGCAGGGTGTTGGACTGGATGGCCCATGAAGTCTCTTCCACCTCTATGATTCTAGGGACTTCCAAGTTGCCCATTCTTGGCTTGTCCCTGGAGGAAGGCCCTCGTGGGAGGCCATCCAGTTGGGATTTCCTGGTTTAGCTGCCCAGAGGGATACCCTTGCTGTTGTTGGGGGGACACCAAGAGGAGTGGTAGTTCTCATAAAGCTTTTCCTTGATTTGAGTCTACTGGGAGGAGGCTGGCAGCCATGTAGTGGATGGCTTTCACAGTGTTCAACATTATTTCTCTCACATTTAGCAGCAACTTCCAAGCACACATCACATTGCTTTTAAACATTTAGCATAGTAAAGCAACACATCACGTCGGAACTGTGTTAATATAAAGTCACATCAGAGTCATATACAGGATAGTAAAGTAACAGTAGTCATATTGGGACTTTATAATAACCATCAGTAACAAAGAAGATCAAAGAACAGAACTGCGTAAGCTTAAAAGTTTTCTACAGTGGCAACCAGGGGAAAGGAAGTTCAGTATGTCTATCAATAAACATCTTAATTCATGAAATACAGCTTCCAATCTGTCTTTTGTGTCATAGCACCTTCCAATTTACTTTAGTAAGTACAGAAGACAGAACAGTGCCTTTGGGCAAATCACATCGTCTCAGCCTCAAAAGAAGGTAATGGCAAACCCTCTCTGAATAATGAATAATTATTCATGACAACTCTATGATAGGGTTGTCATGAGTCAGTCAGTGTTGACTTGAAGGCAAATGATAACAAATCAAATTCTTATGAGTGTCTTGTTTTTTGGGGGAGGGGTGGGGGAGGTTTGATGTGGCCTCAATGTGGATTTCAAAAAGAGACAATTACTTGTGAAGTGAAAATAGTTAAGTGAATCAACCTAAAATGCTAGGCAATGTACAAATTAGGAGACAAAGCTAAAAGGTAAGATTCTGTTTATAAAATCCAGACAAGCATAATGGTTTCAAAGAGTAGGCATTCTCATGAAGAGCCTAAGTTATGATTTTTTTAAATGGATAAGCAGAAACAATTAAAATAACGTAAGTACATTACATTTTATTTATTTATTTATTTATTTATTTATTTATTTATTTATAGTATTGATATTCCACCCTCCTCACTCCAAAGGGGACTCAGAGCTGATCACAGAACACATATGCAGCAAACATTCAATGTCATTAAACACTGACAAGACAGGCAACTGGACATAGGTAGATATAGGCTTTCTCATCTTCGGTATCTTGGAGGCTGTGCTCGGTTCTGGCCATGGGGGCATTCGCTCCATATTAATGTATAAACATGTATATACATTAATATGTTCTCTAAATTGAACTGAAAGTAATAAATTGTATTGATATCTATCTAAACAACAAAAATAGCAATTAAAAAACAAGATTACCTTTTGTTTAGCATCCAGAATCTTGGCTTCTAAATCAGCTGGTATTATTTTGCCCCTGCAATCAAAGCAAAATGCAAAACTCAAAGGTGTTTAAAAATAAATTAATAAGACTGAACTAAGCTGAACATCTGTCACCATTTCAGTTAACTACTCTTGTCAGTAAAACATTCATATCTTGTTCTACATCTAAACATGAGAAAGCAAATTAACCATGTGAGTATGAGTATAATAGCTTACCTTTCATTACACTTTATCAAAATCACATTTTCAGTTCCAAAACCAAGTGCAGCTCCAGCTTTTTTTATTGAGTAATGACTCTGCAACAACAGCAACAGAAACATACTAAACATGTGTTCAACAAACAAGTAAACGGCAAATATTTAATTCATTTAGCTATGTAATACCAATGGTTGTCAGGAGGGGATGAACTTCCCGCTAAGTGCTGGTGTAGTACTCAGAGTAAAGGCTGCTAATACCAAAAATATGTAAAAACCCTTTCTGTGAGAACATTTAAAATCTGTTTATGTAACACATATTTCCAGTCCACACACTAACCAACTGTTTATGTGCAGTTATAGTTGAATGTGGTGGTGAAAGTGACACTAGAGTATAGCCATGGGCAGTGTACAGAAATAAGCTATTGACATAGGAAAGACTATAGACATATCACAATCTGGAAGCTCAAAAGATCTCAGGAACAATAATAATAACAAGAAAGAGCCCTCAAATGTTTTTGGACTGTGATTTCAGATTACTTTCCACATCTATGTTTCAGATGGCATGTCATGTCATTGGATTTCACATGCATCTTTTATGTATATTACCAGATGAAGGGACTGCAGGACCAGACCTCTGGCTCTGTTCCCAAATTAGTGTAAACATCTGTGTTAGGACAACCAATGCACAAAGACCTCACATGCAAAGGTTGGCTATCACCAACCAGATGTCCTGCAGATGTTTGGGATTATAACTCCCCTCATGCTTCACCATTAGCCATGCTGGAGGCCATGATAAGATTTATAGACCAAAGTATCTAAATAATGTTGAGTTGCTAGCCTGGGATAGGTTTGTACATGAATCCTTCTGGGAACTGTAGTCCAAAAGGCAACTTTCTAAACTCTAGAAATTTAAAGCACATATAGTGTTCTTATTTTCCCTGTTTGCTATTTAATTTTGAACATATCTTCTAATTCTACTGGGGATCTTGTCTTCCCTGCCATCTCTTCATCCCACTCTGCTGCAGTCCGAAATGGCACCAGGCTGAAGAACATCTCCCACTTGAATGGCAAGCTACTGCACATAAGGAGTTTGTCCCAATGAGACAGTTGTCACGGTGAGACATGTAAAACAGCTTCCACACTCTGATCGGTTGTGACAGCCATTCCCCCCAAAAATGCTAATGGTGGAAATGGCATGCCCGAATGGGCTTCCCTTGCTCTCCACCCCAATCCACAGAACCCCTCTTTAAACAGGAAGGGTGGTTGCAGGATGCTGCATGCTGATCTAATGTTCTGCCAGCCATCTTAAAGGACAGAAATCTGCCAGAAATCACCAGTCGATAGAGATTTTTCTGGGACATTTTAACCTCCCAAAAGCCTACATTTCATGTGCAAAATAAAGTCAGGTCTCTCCAGAGTTGGGCTAATGGTGATGGAAAAGCATTTTCCTTTTCCCTCCCCCAGTAATTATAGCAATTATAGTTAATTATAATTAAGCTGATTAAGCTCACATGTTCTGAGGTAAAGAGAACCAGTTTAGGCACTGCAGACATGCCTTTGGTTTTGACTTCTGGGAAATGTTTGTAGCGGGCAGCCATGATGCTATACATATTGGATATAGCACCACCTGTAACAAGAGTACATTATAATAAAGCATTAGAAAAGAAAGCGGGAAAAGCCTGATGTTAGGAGCCAAAGTACAAAAGCATCACTTGCATGCCATTCAACTGGGCATGAAAGAATTAATAATTGATGCACGGTCTAACAAGTTTAATGATAGGCTTATGAATTCTGATTTCTCAAAGACTTACTGCCTTTTCTAACAGAGAAAGTATATTTAATACTGTATAGTGATTACCAAGTTGTGTTTTGACAAATAAGGCTTCTCAGAAGTTATCACAAGTTCTCAAGTAATGGTAAGATCCCCCATGACACAGATTATTTACCAGAACCAACCTTTCTTTGCAACTCAAGAAAGGGCTTCTTTGTGTACAGTACAAACCCCATATCAGCAGGGGATGCATCCCAAGACCCCCATGAATACCTGAAGCTGTGATAACCATAATCAACATATTTTGACAATATATTGGCTGAAACTATAGCACTGGAAGACCACCAACACTTCCAGGAGAAATATTTTTTGGAGCATGGGTAAGTGAAACATTGGGTCAATATCGAACCCAAGGATTGTACTGTAAGGTATCTGAGGAGGGATGCTCAGGATCATACAGGGCAACAGAAAGGGCAGGCAGCGTTGTCCATTAGCCTTACTTCACTCGGAACAGAGCTCAGAATCCTTTGCCATGAGCAGCATGGGGGACTCATGCACACATTCCTTGGTAGGCAGCTTAGAAACAATCTACTCATTCAAGGTATTAATTATGGAATTACAGTAGAGCTTGGCATACTGTTCCAAGTTATGTCGATCTGGAGAACTTCTCAGCCAAAATTGTTTTTCATTAACCAACTCTATTACTGGGGGGGGGGGGGGGGGTTAACACTGTAGAGTTAATACACTTTGATGCCACTGTATGAAATGTCTCTGTGATCAAAAACACTTTTATTGAGTTCATAGGGTTTAGTTTGCTGAATAAATACTATTATGTTCCATGTATTAATATTTATGAATGTGTCTCTGAAATACTGTTTCCAACTGTGAGTTTGTTACCAGAAGCTATTTTGGTGGGAGTTGCTTGGCTAGCTCATTTCTCGCTGTTGGTTTTTAGGTTAGCTAACTGAACTAAAATTGTGTCTAAAGCACACAATTAGCCATTTTGCCTTAGTGACAGATTCACTATTTAAAGGATGTATGGGCCATTTATCAAAACAGATAGTCAATATCCGGAAATTTCCTCCTCACCTTAAAAAAACAAAGATATGTACGGGTCTAGTACAGCCCATATAAGTGTTCATCTGGAATTTAGGACGAGCATTAGGAATGGAGCTTACCAGGTGAAAAGATTCCATCTCCATCTTTATCTGTCCATCCAATAATTTCCCTCATTTTCCGAAGTGTTATCTGCTCCATGAGGACAAAAACAGGTGCAATTTCATACGTAAACCTGGAGAAACAAATACATATATTTACACATGCATATCTATTTTGCAATCATGCGTAATGAAATGTTTACACTTTAAGAAGTTTCTTTTGATTTCAGAATCTTATTATATTCAGGCTGCAATCGTTTGTTTGTCTGCCTACCTAGGACTAAGGCCCACTAAACTGGACAATGCAGGATTCCTGGATGTTTGAATACCTTATTTACTTTATGACTGTATGTGAATGTTCTCCTTCAAACTGTAGATATTTGTGCTGTATGAACAAATGTATAGGAAAACCAACATAATGTATGTATGACCTTGGGGTGAGGCTACATATTCTGGCACTGCTTCCCTTGGTCTAAAATAAGTACAGTATTACAGATTCAGCTGTCCTGATGTAGTGGGTCTGATCAACCCCATCTTGACAATAGCTGACATCTCACATGCCCTGTATTTTGCTGTGCTTTACAATTTCTGCTATGCTAGAAATGCTGTAACCACAATATTATGTGCCCAAGGACACCAATCTGATGTTATGGCGACATATGGTGCCAGACCCTGAGAAACATCCTATTCAACAAGAAGTCCTACAAACATTCTGTGCTGGTCACACAGATCTCAAATAAGGATTACCATATATGTATTACATATTGTTCCAAGTGTACTTTGTGTTTGTGTATGTCTGAATTTCTATAAAATACTAGTGCTTGGATTAAACTTTATCTATCTCGACCAGTGCTGTGAGCAGGCTGGATTGAAAGTAGCACTGGGTGTGATAGTTCCTTTGGCCAAATTATTGTCTGTCTGTCTGTCTTCCTGCCTAGGTTTTTTTTGCTCATCCTAGCTTTGAGTCCAACCAGGAAGAATACTGTGTGGCCAATCTTTCAGTCCTACCCAACACTGCTAGCTCAAATGAACATGGACAGCTAGGTTAATATTTACATAAAGTTCACTTTATTTAATAACTATATTATTAAAATAATTCTTTTATATAGTAGTAGTAATAATAACAACAACAACAAATATAGCTTTATATTATATCTTGACCCCCTCTCCCTGAGGCTTACAGCAGAGAAAACACAATATAAAATATAAACACACAACCACATCACAAAATGAAATCAAAACAATAGCAACAAAGGGTTGCTGTGAGTTTTCCGGGCTGTATGGCCATGTTCCAGAAGCATTCTCTCCTGATGTTTTGCCCGCAAAATTCACAGCAACCCAGTGGTTCCAGCCATGAAAACTTTTGACAATACAGTAACAACAAATCTTCCATTTTGAATGGCACAGACTTACAAAGATCTCTCACAGCATATGCTGACTTTTGAAAGCAAACCAACCTGGAATACAAGTTGAGCATCCCTTATTTGGAATTCCAAAATCCTCCAAAATGCAAAAATGTCCAAATGGTTGGCTGAGACAGTGGCACTTTTGCTTTCTGATAGTTCAATGAACACAAACAATGCACAAAATTATTAAAATAAATTTTGCTCCCAAACATTTCATATAGGGGATACTCAACCAGTACCAGGAATAAAACCTGGCACCTTCTGTATATAAAACTTATGCTCTAGCTCTGAGCTACAGCCATTTCTAATTATCACCATTTGTATATCCTAGTGAGTATATAGTTCATTTCCCATTCATCGTTTTGATAATCTTATAAAGACTGGGGTGAAATCCAATCTCAGTCCTGCTTAGAGTAGATCCATTGAAATAATGGGACATGTTTCTTACAATTACATTAAACCTCATTGATTTCAGTGGGGGCCCTTTCACATATTTCAGAATATCAAGGCAGAAAATTCCACATTATCTGCTTTGAACTGGAATATATGGCAGTGCAGACTCAGATAATCCAGTTCAAAACAGATATTTTGTGGTTTTCTGCCTTGATATTCTGGGATATATATTGCTGTGTGGAAGAGCCCTTGGTCTTCATTAGTACCATTGCATTTAGCTTTGGTTTAGTTTTTTCTCCATGTTCTTGTAGATGAAAGAATTTCAGGCTCAGAGAGTATGGTTTTTGCTCAGGTCAGTGAATCTAATACTGCAACTGCAAGATTGGAATGTGGGGACAATTATTCTAAGGGTTCAGTAGGACAACTTAGACAATTTGCCTAGGGAAAACATCCCCATAGGCACATCATTTAATGTATTTCCCATATATTTATTTTTAGTGTGGTCATAGGATTCTAAGTTATCTTGTTACACCAGTTATAACCATACTATAGTAAGTGCCAGAAAATACTAGATTAGGTTTTAAGCTCATGAGCATGATGTTTCTATTTGAATACACAGTTGTTGCAAGAACTAGAGCTATGAAAATGGTACAACAAACTTCAGAGGCTGCTCGCAAAGATAATTAGAAATATTGAACTTGCATTTAAAAAAATGCACCAAACCAATTATTTATGTGACTGTATCCTGCTTAGACTCTCCAAGGGCAACAATTATACAATACCGCACAATCAATAACTGTCAGGAGTAATTAAAAAGGATGATTTTCTAATTACCAATTACAGATAACAAGCAGACAGTCGACTGCTCTATCCATTCAGTGCCGGCAAGAACTACTCCATATCATCTAATTGATCCTGTACATTTTCATGTAGTGAAATTTCAATGTATGCATGGCCTTGTTGTTCTGTTGGAGAACCAAAAATTGCTATAGGAATCTGATAGAAAGTTGCTCCTGAATTAAAGCTGCAGCAGAAAGCTATTTACACCCCACAGAAACTACATTGAAAGTAAAATCAAAGAGAAGTGCAACTAATTGAAGAAATAGCCTTCTCTCACTGCATTGATACACCTATTAGATTCTCCTTCCCTAACCTGGCACTCTTCCAGATGTTTTGGGCTAAAGCTTGCTTCATCCACAACCAGTAGTTAAAACAGCAGAGTTACACATAACCCGAAACTGCCAAGAATCCCATTCTTCACAAGTCTGCAGCCTGTTCACACACACACACACACACTGAAGTATAGGACATTAGACTCAAGTAGCCAGGTCTATATTAGAATTGGCACAACTGTTCATACACAGTGTGGGGCTCCTGCTGGTGCATTGTAGTTTTGCTCTTCCCTGGAAACTAGGATTTCCCACACTATTTCAGTTTATGGTGACATCTAAATACAGAATATATGTAGGATTTTAAAATGGTATCTAGGGTTCTGATTTTCAAAGATTCCTTCAGTTAAATCTTGGCAAAGGACCTGTCTACATTGATGACATACTCCAGAGTGAACCAGAAATCACCCCTGGGCATCCAGGTGATGTCCAGCCACTTCCAGCCACTAATACGAAGCAAAACCAGTGAATCCAATTTTCCTTATGTCAGCAAAATCTGCAACCCCACACTTCAGTGTGTGTGTAAACAGTTGCGCCAATTCTAATATGGAACTGTCCCAGCTGTGCAAATAGGCAAGTGACAACATCCCGCTTTCCCCACTCTCTGCTGCATGGGAAAGGGGGGAGGGTGGCACTTACTTTTGTCATTGGAAAAGCCTCCACGTGAGTATAGTGTGATGATGGTCTCATCACACTAAAGAATGAATCTGCCTCCTGCAAAATTCTGGGGTTTGTAGTTTAGGAATGAGCCTTTAACAGCATCATTAAACTACAAACCTCAGAATTCTGCAGGAGACAGGAACTGGATTTAAAGTGGATTCATTCACTAGTGTGATTGAGGGTCCTTCCACACAGCCCTCTATATTCCAAAATATCAAGGCAGAAAACTCCACATTATCTGAGTGTGGACTCCGATATCCCAGTTCAAAGCAGATATTGTAGGATTTTCTGCCTATATATTCTGGGATGTTGGGCTGTGTGGAAGAGCCCAAAGTTGAGAGATTAGCCCCCTCCTTTTCCTCCTCCCATCTCCAAGGGTCCTTCCACACAGTAAGTAAAACTGTATTTCTATCTCACCCTATCTCTCCTTGGGGACTCTGAGTGATTCACAACATAAAAGGCAAACATTCAATGCCATAAAATAAAACAATAGACTAAAACAATTCAAAATAAACAAAACAGAGCATTCGACAATAAAGCAGCTCACATGAAAACAACAATAATAAGTTACACAATGTTAATAAAGCGAAAAGCCATGTCTACATTCCATTCCATTTCAAATTCATTGCTTTCACCCCATTCCATTGTAGGGAGTCTCAAAGAGGCAAACAGATAGAATGCCGAGCACCAAAATGAATACCAAAGTAAGTACCAAAATGCATAAGATGCTGAAAAATAAAACATGAAATAAAGCAGTTTGATGAAGCATACAATGAACAAGCCTTTTAGCAATGGAAACAAATGCAATCACAAAGTTAACCAACATTTATTGCATGCTCCTATTGTTTATGCTCGGTGGGCAGCATTTCTAAAAGGCACTACTAGAACATTTCAATAGGTTGAAAATGGTTCAAATCCAGAGATGCTTCTGTGCATGGAAGGCCTCTTCAAGGAGGATAAAGGCATCTCTGCCTTGTGTGCATCAATTCAGGTGCAAAATCAGAGACAATGTGCACAGTGAAGTGAAATAATAAAAGTCAAGCAAAGGCTAAAGTAGACAAAATGGCCGGATACTGCTCCACGCAGAAGGGTAAGTTTCTTCATGACTTCTTTTATTTCTGCTGAATAACAGGAACACCATCCCTCTCGGTGCTTGAGAGGGATGGTGCAAAACTCTAAAGCTTGAAGAGTCCAACCAAGGTCAAGTACTTATTTATCACCAACTTCTGTGAGAAGAGGGATGACTAAATGTCATCCTTCTTCTGACACTGCTAAAGTAGCAAATCTTCCTAAAGCCATATTAAGGAGATAGCTCTCATAGATCAGTGGTTCCCAACCTTTTTTTGACCAGGGATCACTTCACCAGGGACCACTTCACCAAGGACCACTTTGACCAGGGACCATTCTCCAATATTAGTATCAAAAGGGTTACAAATCAGTTTTTTTGGTTTGCTTATTTAGGGTGCTGATTCAAAAAATTGCATTGGATAGACCACATCAGCTCAAGCTTCTGATACAGAACAGATCCCATCCATTAGTAGCCATCTGTGCACCCACAGAAAACCATATTTAATAAGCCTCAGCACTATAAGAGGGTTTCGTGAGACCAGTCGCTCCTCTTGTAACGGTGTAGTAAAAAGGAGGCCGTGGATCATATTTTGGTTCTTGCAGACCACTGATGGTCCACAGACCACAGGTTGGAAACCACTGTCATAAATGTTCATGTAATTTGAGTACAACCGGGAGAAAAATCTGACAAGACTTTTTCTCCCTTGTGGGAAGAATATCTAAAATAATAACATAACTTGCTAAAGCTTGAGCATCTATTATCCAGAATTCAAAAAACCAAAACACATGTGCGGCTGAGATAGTAATACTTGTCCTTTTGCATGCTACAGTGTACACAAATTTTGTTTTACGCACAAAATAATGTGAAAATTTGCCTTTAGGATATGTGTATAAGGTGTATATGAAGCATACATTACTATTTTGTTTAGACTTGAGTCCCATTTCCAAAGTATCTCATAATGTATGTATGTGAAAATACAGGTATTCCAAAAAATATGAAGAATTCCAAAATCCAACATCCTTCTAACTCCAGGTATTTTGGATAAAAGATACTCAACCTGTACCAATGTATTGTCCTTTTTGTGACACCCCAACTGTAATGATACCTGAGTTAAGGTTCTCTCTTGGGTTTATGATAGGGCCAATCCCACATCTAATAGAAATCAATGGGATGAAAAGTGATCAGGTTTATCACCCTCCCCAGTGAGGTCAGGCTGGCCTCTTCCCTCCTGGTCTTCAGGAAAAAGTTAAAGACCTGGCTCTGCACTTAGGTGTTCGGGGAATAGAGTAATATGGAATCCGACTTGAATGCAGCAGCTTGAATAACAACTATGGGGCTCGGCACTATATTTTTAATCTATTTTATTGTAGTTATATGTTTTAACTGTTATACAATTTGAGATGTCATCGTTATGATTTGTATATATAATGCAGCATTGAATTTTACCATAATCTGTAAGCCACTCTGAGTCCCCTTCGGGGTGAGAAGAGCGGAGTATAAATATAGTAAGTAAATAAATAAATGTCCTGAATATGTTTTCTAAAGTATATCTGAGCAAAACTAACTCTAATTGCTTTTATAAAGGATTGCTGTGTAGCTTTGAACAACAATGCTACACAGAAAAATAAATGGCAAAATGATATCCTAGTTATAAATTGGGGCTGCTGGTGACTGGGAAACATTCCCAGTGGTTTTTTGACAAGTCAAATATGCGTGTCTCTGTTGCTAAGCTCACTGCATGAGCACATATGGTCTTCCACTGTGCTAATCACCACTCCTACTCAGCAGTGCATTATCAGTAGATGCAGCTGCAAGGGACAGAATCATTCCTTTGTGACTTGCAGGTGATACTCCAGTGTGCGTTGCTCTTATCACACCAGCCATGCACATCCTATTCCATCTGGAGATTTATAAACACAGCCATCTCTCCCTTCCCCCTCCCTCACACATGTGTCCAATAGCATTCTGAAATAGAAACCCTGCCTCCTGATTTCTGATGAGTATTTGTAATCTTGTCATGCCACACTTTTTTAAAGCCCATGTAAATCAATACACAATTTCAAAATGCCCCAAGGCCTGTCTCGCACTTGTGTGCTGGATTCTTCTTTTTTTTAATATAGGAGCTGTTTTTGTCAATGACCAGTATCAGCCATCACCTTGAACTTGATTTTAAATTTCCCCCACAATTGAGCAATAATAAGGGCTACCTATATAAGTTTTCCAAACATTTCATTTTGATGACACACTTTTCAGACATGCGTCATTTTGCAACACAATAATTCAGTTTTACCTGAGGTTAAACCAGCTCCTTATAAAATATACGGACAAGAGATAAATTGTAATAATGAAATGTATGGGGATACATGAAAATCTTGCACTGATATTCTTAAAAATATATGATTTCTTGCTTATTTCACATAGACTCAGGTTTCTTGTTGCATTCACACAACACACCTGCACTCTGCAGCTGACACACTACTGTGTCACAACACAGAGTTTGTAATGTTCTGCTATTGAATTATGAAATCTACTGACGAAGATATCATTCACCCACATCCTCACCATTCCGCCCTTTTGTTGTTTGTTGTTTTGTGGCTTTACATCATTTTTTATTTATGGTGATACTAACCTATCCTGGATCTTTCTTGGAAAGATTTGTTCAGAAGGGATGTGCCTTTGCTTTCTTCTGAAGCTGAGCGGGTGTGAATTGCCCATGATCACTCACTAGTTTACGTGGATGAGAGGGGATTCAAACTCTGGTCCCCCAAAGTTCTAGTTCGGCACTCAAACCACTACACCATCCTAGACTTCTTTACACTGTTTGTGTGCTGTCGCATGCTGGACCTGTACGAAAGACTGTAGACAGGACATAGATTCTGTGTGCCCAACGGGACGCCGGGGCTGCCTCAGATTAAAGGCCCTTAGATTCCCCCAAACAGAGTCTTTAGATTGCTTAAAGGTTCAACAAAGTTCTTTATTAATGAAAACAAACAGGTACTTTAAGGCTTTCTTAACAGTCTATTGACTCTCTCTCAATCTTGTCCACAGGGAACAGGCACTATCTTCATAACTGTAACTAATGGGGAAATCCTTAACTTCTAATCTGGGCAGTCTGTTTTTGCCTCTGTTGGCGTGGAGCCCCTACAACTGGTACCAATTGCTTCTGGCTTCTGTGAGTGACCCTTACCAAGCTGAGCTTTGAAGACTTCCAGGGGAAAAGGAGTTCAGGTTTCAGTGATGGCTGACTGAAGTCCCTCAGCAAAGGAGCTGTAAGGCTGTATGATCCTCGGCCAAGCTGTGGGCTGTATAACCCCGGCCAAGCTGTAGGCTGTATATCTCCCCGGCCAAGCCATAGAAGACGAAGCTTTCTTCAGGAGCTCTTGGTATTATGTCCTGCATGAAAAGCTTCTCTGTGTGGACTGAACCCAAACTGGCTCCTATTCCCTCCAAAACCAAAAAAGGGGGTGGGACCAGGGAACCTAACTATAATTGACAGGTGGCTTGCCCTATGATTGCAGCCAAAAGAAGCCACCTATCTGCAGAGTCCCTGAAACCTAGGACTACAACAAACATTCAATGCAAAGCAAACAAAATTGGAGCTCCTGGTACAGTTGTACCTGAACAGTTTGAAAGCAGGGTCATAAGAATATTCACAGCGATGACATTATATCCCTGCCAGTACCATTTTGCATCTTATAATCTGTTTCTATAGTAACAAGCAATTAAAACAAACTCCTAAAATAGAATCCTGCTCCCATTGAACTCAGTGCTTAGTTTCTCTATCATCATCATCATCATGTTGCTGTGTCGTTTTCTTTTCTTGCTCCTTTTGTATTTCATGTTTGTTGTGATCTATTTAAAAGATATCTGGTTTTAAAACTCATACTTCCAGGCATCGTCTGTTCTAAAATTAGCTTCAGTGTTGTGAATAATGTCTTATGTGACCCAATGATGTGATCCAGGAGAATTCTCAGAACAGTCATGAAGACCGTCCGAGGCCAACTGTGAGCACCTGGACATATGGCACTTGGATGCTAATGACTGCAGACTTTGTATCTGCTTAAGGAAGGAGTTCTCCTCAAAATGTGTGGAATAGGCTTCTTTATGGAATCATGAACAGTCTAGTAGTAGATCAGCTTACTTGATCATTTGTAATGGATTCAGGGTGAGCACTTTGTAGTTGTTATGCTGTCTCAATTGCCATTTGGGTTCTTTTAGACTGAGGACTTTTGGTGCTCCGAATCAAAATGCATTGTGCATATTTTCACATCATTTCAACTTTAACAATTTTTCTTTTGGTCAGAAAAAAAAACTGTGAAGCAGCAACAACAGGAGAACATATGGAGGTTTTAAGATGGATTCCTGGTAAAAGTTCATAAGCAGGGTAACTTACAATAAATGCCTCATTTGTAAGTATTCATAGTCCTATAGTTATTTTGGTCTGCTGGTTTTCCTTTTCCCTCCAATCCTCCATCCCAGGTATCCAATGATTCTAGAACTTACTCCATTGTAACCTCAAGGCTACTTATCATCAAAGTAAACTCACTAATTAATGTGTCTATATAGCTAGCAAGCTTTAATCATCTTTCACTTTATTTAGAACAGAATCTATCCACCCACCAAGAGGAGGAGGAGGAGGAGGAAAAAAGCCAAGTGCACCAATTTGTCTTATCCTTTGTTTGTTCTTGGCAGACTTAAGTAATGTTTTTCCCTGAAGAAAGTTCAAATGAACAAAAGCTGGAAAGCCCTCTGCTGTTTGACAATAACAAAGGCCATCTTTCATTGCTTGAATTCATAGCCTAGCCATTAAGAAGAGTGAGGCAGTTGCCTCAGGTGGTGCATGCTGAGGAAGACAAGTAAGTAGTCAATGGCAAATTTCTTCATCAACTCCTTGGCTGTTTCCCCAGACACAGCTGTGAATGGTGTAGATCGGTGGTTCCCAACCTTGGGTCCTCAGACTTCAAGTCCTACAATTTCCAACAGCTGGCAAATTGGCTGGGATTTCTGGAAGTTGAAGACCAAAACACCTGGAGGACCAAAGGTTGGGAACCACTGGTGTAGATGAAGGTACTATCCCATTGATAGCATGGGAACAAAATTCAGCCACCTATGCAGTTTGCTCCTGATCAAGGAATGGAGTGTGGGATGGTGGTGACCTTGCTCTTCATCATGGGCAGCAAATGCATCCGGACAGTCCTGTTTGCCGGTCACAGGAATTATGAATCATCTCAAGTATGAGTAGCTTGGCTCAGGCATTGAGTGGTATCCAAGGTCACTTCCACCCATATCTGCCCCTCAGTGTACCACTGGGCTTGCCAAGGTGCTTTGTGGGAGTGGGGTGATGGACACATGTAAAACAGAGAAAACCAAGAGAGTGCTTACATGTTCGTATTAGCAGTAGATGTCAGCCATTCTCCAGCCAAGCCGATGATATCAAGCCCTGTAGAAAGCTGGTTGAAAAATCGAGGATGACCTAGAAAGATGAATAACACCACTGTAAGGTTTGTCTGTTTTTAAAAAATGTTTCATATTATCCCTGTCAAATATTTTCCTCTACCTCAGTAGAGTACTGGAAGTGTCCCCAAACCATGAACCAGCTAGGCTCCAGATTCCCCTCAGCAATGCAGGAACTTCACGGTGTAAGAAAGAGTCCACACACAGATATTCTTTCACTGCTAGAATACAGGAAGGCTTCATCTTCAGTTGCTTCAGAAGAGATATATACAAAGCTATTAGGCATGGGCAATCCATGGTTCTAAATGGTTCTAAAGTACTTAGAAAACTAGAAGGTGCTGGTGCTTTGCTTCTAAAGTGTTGCTAAAGTTCTGGTGGTGAAAATTTCAGAACTCTAACGAAACTTTCAAAATTTCATTATAAATGACAGTATAATTGGTTCTGTCATAAAAATCGCCAATAATGACATAATAATGAAATTATGAAAGTTTTGTTAAGAGTTCTGAAATTTTCACCACCAGAACTTTAGCAACATCACAGAAGCAGAGCACCAGCGCCCACTAGTTTTCTAAGTACTTTAGAACCATTTAGAACCATGGGTTGCCCATGTCTAAAAGCTATATAAACACAATACACACTATCTCAGCTTCTTCATCCACTCTTCACAGCTCTAACAGCCTACAGCTACACTCCACACACAGCACAGGCTCAGTCATGTAACTCTGCTATTGTACAGAGTTTCTGGGCCTATAAGTGAGTGACTCTCCATGTAGCCAGACCTAAAGGCCTCAGTAATTCACATTGTCATCTATGCCATTTATCTCAAAAGTCTGACAATCCCATCCCAGATGTAGGAACTATGTGGCCATCTGGATTTTGTTGAACTATACCTCCCAGCATTCTTCACCACTGGCTTTGCTGATTAGCTGAAGTCTAACAACAATTGGCGGACCACAACTTCCCACTGCTATTCTGTCAAAAACAACATGATTTCCTGGGTTCTGCTGCATAAAAAGAAATCGTATTTTTGTTGTTGCTGTCCATATTTACAAGTAGGAAACAGGTATCTCATTTAGGTACAGAGGAGAGTGAGAAGAATAGCTAATTCTATACATTTATTTGCTCCTCTCCAATTGCGTTTACATTCACATGTAATTTATATGAATGAGGAATGAATAGGGTGGGAGAATAAGCCACCATATATTTATATTAGTAGTCCTTTGCACATAAATTAACCCTTATCCTTCCCCCAGTTTCATTGAAACTTATGGAGATGGATTAGAAAGCAACAGAAGCAGCTCTGGGATTTTCCACTTCCTTTTTAGATCGTTGACCCATGTATTTTGAATTATAAATATATTTTATTATATTCAGAAATACTGACAAGTGTGGCAACATCCATTGTCATATCCTTTGCTGTTGTATTCTATCAGGAAAAACAAGAATTTTGGAGTTTCCATGCAAGGCAACTGTGCATTTGTGAAGTTGTTGAAATGAGCATATACATATTTCTTATGGACATTGCTTTTTAAAAAGTTGCCATTTTCATCAAAACTGCATTGGTCAAAATATACACCCATGCTCTTTCTGTCTGTCTGTCTTTCAAAAGTATAAAAGTTAGTCTTGAGATAAACTCTTTATACTTGGCTTTAACCATGACTCGGCCTGAACACTCAATGGGATAATGTGGAAGTCAGGTTTCTGCACTTCTGTCTCTACTGCCGTCCTAGTGATTAGCATAGCAAAGGTGAGTAGAGAACAAGTAACGCCATATTAGCCTGGTATTATCAGTGACCTGAGATAATCAGTATATGAGTCTGGGATTCTCCACTCTGTTAAACAATTGCTCAATGAGGTAGTGGATTAGGAACGATACATTCAAAATAATAGTCCTATTTTTAAGCACAGGGATGCATTATAGCTATAAAGGAAGGATAGACACCACAAATAGAAGGATATATTTTATGTGGCTATGGGTTGTTGTGATAATTTCATTTGTGATTAGATGAACCTAAGTTTCATCCACTTTAAGGCAACATCTGTGGAATTAAAGACTCCTTCTTTGGGGACTTTTAAACAAAGGCTGGATGGCCAGCTGTCGGGGTACTTTGGATGTGATTTTCCTAGTTCTTGGCAAAGGTTTGGACTCTTCTAACTCTATGATTCTAAGGCAAAGGTTTCCCATTGACATTAAGTCCAGTTGTGTCTGACTATGGAAGTTGGTGCTCACCTCCATTTCTAAGCTGAAGAGCTGGTGTTGTCCATAGATACCTCCAAGGTCATGTGGCCAGCATGACTGTATGGAGTGCCATTACCTTCCCGCTGATACCTATTGATCTACTCACATTTGCATGTTTTCGGACTGCTACGTTGGCAGAAGCTGGGCCTAACAAAGGGAGCTCACCCAGTCCTGTGGATTTGAACCGCTGACCTTCCAGTCAGTAAGTTCTGCAGCTTAGCAATTTAACTTGCTGCGCCACCATAGCCCTTCCTCTATACTATTATTCTTACAATATTCCTCTTAAATAGACTATACAGGGAAGTCAGTAACTCAAGGTCACCAAAAGTGCTTTGTGGCTAAACATGGATTTGAAACTAGTTCTCTCGTCAGGTGCTGACTCTTTACCAATTATCCATCCCACTCAGCAGTACACACCTCTTTAATTCCACCATAGGGAATATCCAACAGATGTTTGGGTCATTCATCCAGCCAGAATCTCAATATGCAAGATTTGCCTCAGTAACAATCATGCCAAACACAACAGCAACAAATGAGCTGTGCTGGAGATGAACAGCACTCCTCTCACATATAAAACACAGTGCATCAAGCACTCATAAAAAAGACATGATCTTTCCTATTAGAGAAATGCCATGTGCAACAAATAAGAAACAAATTTACATTTATCATCACGCTGGTTGTAACTATGTCCCTCCAATTGCAATCTCATGTTAATCAGAAAAATGTGGAACCATTTCATGTATTTTAAAAGTAACTTTCAATGCTAATCTTCAACCAATGGGCTATAATTAATCCCCATTCAGCAAAGTGTGTGTGTGTGTGTATATATATATATATATATTCAGTCACTACTACAATCTGGACTCTCATTAGCTCATCTAATGCTGGTGGAGATCTAAACCAGAAAAGTCCAACACCCAGAAGCAGAGAAGAAACATAGTCACACTATGTAATACTCCTATTAAAGTCAAATGCAACACCTCTCCTCTCACCAACCAAAAGAAGCTATACTAATAATCTGAATCACTACTCAGTGTTTTTTTCTCAACTTAAGTGAAAGTAGATTTTTCAGTAGACCCAACTGCTATTCTACGTTAGCATTCCAGTCATGCCAAAATGCACTCATTCTTCAAAAAAGAGCTACACAATAAAATTAATATTGTGAAAAATGGGATATTAAAATCTAATTATGTTCCTTTCTCCATTAAAATCCATAGCATAACTGGAGATTCCCCAAGACATCTTGATGCATAAGATTCCATATAGACAAAAATGTGGCATTAAGATAGATAATCGCCCATTTGCTGTCCTTTCCCAATGTCCTTCACTCTGCTGCCTTGAGTTTCATCTTGGGAAACTGGCAGGATATAAACAAAGTCATTGATTGAACAAATGACTACTTTGTCAGATCAGAGTGAAGGAGTCAAACATGAGCGTGTGATGGCACTTCAGTCAACATGTATCAATAAGCTTATTTATTATGGTACTTCCAGATGGTAGCTGAAATCTTGCCTCTTTATGATGCTGTAGCCTTGTTCCTAATCTGCCATAGATGTGGGCAAAACGTCAGGAGAGAATGCTTCTGGAACATGGCCATACAGCCCAGAAAACTCACAGCAACCCAACATATGAATTGTTACTATGTGTATCTTGCTGTTCCTGTCACATGAGTGGAGTTATGAAGCATTCTGGTGCACAATGCACTACAGGGTCACTCCATTTATACCAGTGGTTCCCAACCTCCAGGTGTTTTGGACCGGCTCCCACAATTCCTAACAGCTGGTAAACTGGCTGAGATTTCTGGGAGCTGAAGCCCAAAATAACTGAAGGACCAAAGGTTGGGAACCATTGATTTATACGAACATCCCAGAGATGTAGCTATGTCTCTGCTCCCCTCCTGAGAACACTAGCATTATACAATATTGCAATTCATCTTTTGGGGATCATTACAGTTTATAGTGACATAAATCCCTAAAAGGACCCCATTCAGCAACTTGAATGCCAACACACAGTAAGTGCAGTAGCCACTAATCCAGAGGGTAGAGATTTCCTTGAAAATGAAAAACTGCTGGTTGGTATTTTGTGCAGTCAGAAGTCAGCATTGTGCAGCTACTGTTGCACCACTCAAGTCTGAGTTGTTGAGTCTTCCTAACCTGGACCACGGATGATGCAGATTTGCTCTGCCAGTGGTCTGTGGGATCTACTCCGGCATCCATTTCCTGTTGCTCCTTGGCTGATGTTAGACAGACTCCCAACACCCCTCGAGCTCAGAGTGAATAATTTCCAAATTACATGCCCTTTATGACTCTCAAAATGCCCTGCCTGAGGCCAAGATCTCACTGTGTCTAATAGCAAATCCAGTTTTGATTGTGGAATTGCAACATTCTTCCCCAAGTCACATTTATTTGTGCAGCACTCCAAACCCCTGTTCAGATTTTCTATCTCTCTGTTACATACTCTCATAATATAGCTTTTTAAAAATCCTTGTAAAATTTGAATTTTTTAAAAATGCTTATCTGATCATATTTTCCTTCCATATGGGTGCAATGAAAATTATTTTTTAAAGGAATTGCTTTGCTAACCAAACCAAATGTCCATCCAATAACCAGTTTAATGTTCTGGGGATTTTTCCCCCAACAGTGGCAAGGAAAAACTGTAACTCTACTGACCAAAACTATTTTCTACGGTTTGTCCTCAGCACCTGGTAATTACAAGTTATTGTGCTGAAATATCACAAATAATTATCTAAACTGAAAGAGCAGCCCTTAAAAGGGGAAAATATATCACTGCCTGGAAATGCCAGCATAATTCTAAAAACAAGAGTGGATTAAGTCAACCAAAGGCCCTTCCACACTGCCATATAACCCAGAATATCAAGGCAGAAAATCTTTGGACTCAGATAACTGGGTTATCTGAGTCCATACTGACATATTCCAGTTCAAAGAAGAAAATGTGGGGTTTTATTCAGCCGTGTGGAAGGGGCCCAAGTCTGTCTGTCTCTATAGCTGCTTTTCTGTCTCTATCAACAAACACTCTAACAACCACCATGTCGGACTACACAGAGAAGCCATTGAAATCCACAAGCATGTGGACAATTTCAACAGAAAGGAGGAAACCATGAAAATGAACAAAATCTGGCTACCAGTATTTAACAAGTCTAAAATTATAACAGCAAAACAACAGAGAGGAAACAATCAAGGACATCTAATCACCTCTCAAAAAAAGATTGCCCCAGGCACCAACAAGCCACACCAAACAATTGCCAGGCCATCAAATGCTAATCAAGGTGGTTAGTTGAAACATTCACACCTAGCTCCAGCAGACAAGAGTTCTTTGTCCCACCCTGGTCATTCCACAGATATATAAACCCATTTTTCTAGTTCCAACAGATCTCACTACCTCTGAGGATGCTTGCCATAGATGCAGGCGAAATGTCAGGAGAGAATTCCTCTAGAACATGGCCATATAGCCCGAAAAACCTACAACAACCCAGTGATTCCCGCCATGAAAGCCTTCAACAATATATCAACATACAGTTCTGGCTTCAAGTTAAATGAATATTCTATTGAATGTTCACTTAACAACCCCGAGTCACAAGCCCAGCTCTCCAGAAAAGGAAATAACCTTTCATGGGAGAGCCAGGAACAGATTTCATGTTCAGAGTTTTTCCTAACAGTACAGTCTAAAAACATTTCAAAAAACCTCCTCACCCACAACATAAACATTAAAGGCTCTTTCAAAGCAAGTCCATCTCAGAATACCCATCCTCACTCATTAAAGAATGGGAGAAATGACTGTGGAAATTATATTTGATGTCTTATGTCTGGTACTCTGGAATGGCCTGGAAGCAGGGAACTTGCCTTGCATAATGAGTTGTCAGTAGGACTGCAAGTATTAATGATCCCAAGACTTGCAGTCACCCCTTTCTTTTCTTTGTTTTTTGGCATTAACTGTCTTGGGAACATAAAGAAGAAAAACTGCAAATTCAGTGTCATTTACGCCCTCATTTACCTAATGATATTGTTCCCTCGAGATACAGGCGGCCTGCATTTCATCAAGTGAGAAAGATTACGACTTTTCAAGTGTGTATGGCTAAGCTGTCTACACCCAATGCTGCAAAATGGCCATTTGAGTGACAAACAGAACTGCCTAAAGGTCTGCCTACTGTGAGCAATAAGGCAAGAGTCACTGGCGGAGCGGAGTGGCAGAGAAATCAGACAGCATGCTTCCTAAGCACAGGACTGCAGCAGCAGGGATAGAGTCAAACCAGTGTGATTTAAAATTGGCTCTCCCATCCTTGATTTTAAATCATTGAATGTAGTCACATTTTCCATTGATAACATTTTTATATATTTCCTAAACAAAGGGGAAAACATGGTCACTTGAATGGCACAAAGTTAGAATTAAGGCCACAATCGTACAACTCTTTACCCAAAAAGCTGGAGCTGACAGACGGAGCTCACCCTGCTCTCCAGATTCAAACCACCTTTCGGTCAGCAGTCCTGTCAGCACAAGGGTTTAACTCATTGCACCCCCAGGGGGCACAGGAAGAGTAGAGTGGATGGTTTAAAAAATGGATGGGAGTATGCACTCTGTGTTGCTGATAACTGTTCTACAGCAGTTGTGACGTAGTTAAATGGAAGCGGAATTACCAGAGAAACTGAATCTTTGCCAAATATGTTTTTTAGGGAGACTGTTTTTCCATATGTATCATCTAACATAGAACACAAAAGCTGATTGTATTGACAGTCGATATGAAAAAGTCACTTTCTCAGTTGGGTAAGGTTTGGTTGGTTTGCTTTCAGACTGATTATTTGTGGGTTCCCTCCATTCAGCTTCTATGTAGCCATTCCTTGGACACAATCCCGGGTCTCTGGCCAACACACTAACTACTTCCTGAATGGCTATTGTGACAATTTACTAAACAGGTCAAGAGTTCTCAGTTTTCAGCTGAAGGCCACAAATATTGTTGGAAAAGAAGGAAGGGACTGCTTGATCCATGCTGATATACCCCTAATAATAGTATATTTGAGCCCCCCGAGGTACGATGGGTTAAAGCCTTGTGCCTTGGCGGTTCGAATCTGGAGAGTGGGGTGAGCTCCCATCTGTCAGCTCCAGCTTCTCAAGCGGGACATGAGAAAAGCCTCCCACAAGATGGTAAAACATCCAGACATCTCCTGGGCAGACATCTCCTTGCAGACAGCCAATTCTCTTACATCAGAAGCGACTTGCAGTTTCTTGTCACTCCTGACACACACAAAAAGTATATTTACTCAAAAGTTAACTCCACTGTGTTATGTAAATCAGTGTTACATAACATTGCAAACAGAGGATCATTCAATTGATAGACCCACTTTCATCAGCAGATCTTGAAACAGTTGAAATTCCCCCACCCTCATCCCATTGATCCTCAAAATCTACTTCAGGGTGTGATAAATACCCTGAGAAAAGTCTTGGGCATTGCAAAAGAAGGGTGGGACGACAAACGGTAGAGCAGTGGTTCTCAACCTGGGGTCCCCAGATGTTTTTGGCCTACAACTCCCAGAAATCCCAGCCAGTTTACCAGCTGTTAGGATTTCTGGGAGTTGAAGGCCAAAAACATCTGGGGACCCCAGGCTGAGAACCACTGGGTTAGAGAGTTCTGATGGACTTTCCCTAGAATTTACTATTTGTTATTGCACAGCATATTTTAAACACTCCCAGTTTCATCTTGACAACCCTCCCCCTGCCCCTCAAAGACCTGGCCAAACAGAATGTCAACATACAGACACGCAAAGTACAGTATTTGGTTTCCAAGCAGGGAGGTCAGTTTCTTTAGTTCTGCCAAATTTATTTTAAACACTGGAACAAACCATTAGAGTATCACTGTATGGAGGATGAAACTGTGTTTTCAAATAGAAAGAAACTGTGCCACTCAGCTAAGGAATGAGTGGTTAATTCTGTACTTCCAAGAGCTTAATTCATGTGCCCTAGCACCCATCTGTTCTCAAGTATTTCACTTATTACTATGTTGAAATTTGTTCTTTCTTCACTGGTGATGGTCACGACAGCATATAACACATTCCCAGGTGGCCTGCCATCTCATTACTGATCAAACCCAGGCCTTAGCTTTGTAGAGCCACTGTGTCATGTTCATTCAGACCCTGACCCAGCAGTGTCCACCCCCCGCCCCAGGTAACCATATTATCTGCTCATTTAGAGCCGCTCCCAGGGCATTCTCTCACCTGTCCTGACTCCATATTTCAGTGTGTCCCTGCAGTCCACCAGAATCTGCTCAAGTGACTCTGGGTTGTCGGAAAGCTCAAGGTTGAAGCCTTCCATTCCTTCCAGGAGCTGATGGGGATGGTGGAAGTCCAGCACCTTGGTGGACCTATCGAAGGTCTTCCTCACGTAGTTCAAGAGAATGTCCACAATCTCCAGAAGGAATTGCACCGTCTGTTCCTCTCCATTCTTGGCTGGAAGCAAATCTGAGCAAGAGATCAGGAACAACCAACTCTGTTAGAAAAGGTAGCAAAGGGGTTCTCAGGCTCCTTCCACACGCTTCAACCTCTTCTGCAGACAAACGGCCCTTTTGGAAATGTATCCCCCAAAAGGCAAGGCTGATACTAGATTCCTTCCCCACCATTAAACAGATTTCCCTCTGACTTTTCATCTGAGTAAAAAGAAAAGCAACTCAGAGCTTGTTACATTCCAACAAATAGGTGATCTTTGCATTCAGTAGTAAGCAGCAGGTCAAGCAAGAAGACAAATAAATGAAATACGACCTCAAACAGTGTGAGGCATTCTGTCACCTACTATAATCACTGTATAGTGATGATAATAGACGACATAATTCCACACTGAGATGAACAGACAGGGAAGTCCAAAGAATTAACTGTTCCAAGCTGTAAGAGTGCATGAAAATTGTCAATCTGTCTGTCTATGTGGGATCCTGAGTTGGGACAGAATGAAGAGGGTGGAGATTTGTTTTCACCTGTGCTGGAGATTAGGACTCAGGGCCCTGGGTTCTAGAGATTCCACCTGAATGTTAGGAAGAACGTCCTGATTTTAAGAGCTGTTCAGTATTGGAACTCACTGCCTTAGAGTGTGGTAGAAGCTCCTTCCTTAGAGGCTTTTAAGCAGAGGCTGGATAGCCATCTGTCAGAGGTACTTTGTGTTTTTCCAGCATGGCAGGGGGTCGGACTAGATGGCCCATGTGGTTTCTTCCAACTCTATGATTCTATAAACCAGTGATGACCCAGTCTGCCAAACTATATTGTCCAAACAGGAATTTCCCCAGCCAATGTGGAGGTGGGAGGGAGTACCCACTACCCAGGAGTACCGAACACAATTCTGCACCACTGGGCGGCCTCATTCACTATCGCCTACCCCACATGTCATGGCAGTCTGGAAACTAGGACACGGAACAATGGCTTCAAACTACAGGAAAGGAGATTCCACCTGAACATTAGGAAGAATTGCCCCAAAGTGTGGTGGAGGCTGAGCTGCTGAATTTGCTGACTGAAAGGTCAGTGGTTCAAATCTGGGGAGCTGGATGAGCTCCCGCTGTTAGTCCATGCTGGAGCTCCCGGCAGCACAGCAGTTTAAACTGCTGAGTTGCTGAATTTGCTGACCAACAGATCAGTGATTCGAATCTGGGGAGCAGGGTGACCTCCGATGTTAGCCCCAGCTTCTGCCAACCTAGCAGTTTGAAAACATGCAAACGTGAGTAGATGAATAGGGAAGGTAAGGGCGCTCCATGCAGGCCACATGACCTTGGAGGTGTCTATGGGCAACGCCGGCTCTTCGGCTTAGAAATGGAGATGAGCACCAACCCCGAGACTAGACTTAATGTCAGGGGAAACCCTTTACCTTTACCTATGAGTATTTGGAGCCAATAAGAAGTTTCAGGTGCCCCCCCCCCCCAACTCACCTCGGGCGAAGAGGTTGGAGAAGTCGGTCTCGGTCCTGCGGAAGCGGGCCTCGTTCTCGCTGTTCTCCCCGGCGGCCACGCGTAGGTTCCGGGAGGCCTGCCGCTCCTTGAGGGCGCTGGCCAGGCGGCCCTTGTCCTCCAGGCTGTTGTTGCGCTGCAGGAACCCTACGTGTGGACAAGGCGGGTGGCTTAGGGGCAAAGCCTGCCGCTCGCCGCCCAGCATGGCTCCCTCTCAGGGGCGGAAAAAGGACCGGGAAGAGGAGGGAGCCCGAAGGATGGAGCAGCAGCCTTCCCAAAGCCCGGCTTCCCAAAGCAGGACTGGATTCTCGACGCTCCTCGATGCCAATGAGGCCAGGGAGCGGGAGGGCGCGTTATTTATGGGGGAAGCAAGGCGCCCCGAGCAGGCAGCGCTCACACGGCATCAACTGCAAAAAGTCACTCAGGCACGAAGCAGGGAGGGAGGGAAAGAGAGGGGGGGAGGCCATGTCTCCCTAAATAGAAGCGACAGGTGCCAGTCCCAGAAAAAGGAAGAGGAAAGGCAGCCCAGGGCGAAGGCACACACGCAAACACCAGCACACACACACACAAGAGGGCTTTGCCTCTCCTTCTCCAGCCTCGACACCAGGCCTGGGCCAACTTGAGCCCTCCTTCTCCAGGTGTTTTGGATTTCATCTCCCACCATTCCTAACAACCTCCGGCCCTTTCCTTTCCCCCCTCAGCCGCTTAAGCAAAGGAAGGAAGGAAGGGGCCTGAGGCTGTTAGGAATGGTGGGAGTTGAAGTCTGCTGGGTTCATCCCTGGCTGCACAAGTTTCCAGTCCTCAATGAGTAAATAGACGAGGTAGGATTAGAGCAGTGGTTCTCAACCTATGGGTCCCCAGCCAGGCATGTAGCCCCCCAAGCCCCCCCCCCCCCGAAATTCTCATGGTGGTCCGCGAGAAGGCCTTACTGGTACATTATTTAAACTGTTATGTTTATTCATATCAGATCTGATCACCATACTCAATATATCCCATATGCATGGGGGTATTGGGGTAACAATATAAAAGGTTTGCTAGGCTAGACCCTCTTTCACTCAGACTCAGCCCCCCCCCCCCCAGTCAAACTCACCCCCCCCCCAATCAAAATCCTGGCTACGGGCCCAGCTGTTTTGGCCCACAACTACCAGAAATCCCAGCCAGTTTATCAGCCCGCCTCCCAGCGCAGTGCTGAGCTGCTGAACTGGTTGACCGAAAGGTTGCAGTTCCGAATCCAGGGAGTGGGTGAGCTCCCGCTGTTAGCCCCAGCTTCTGCCAAGCTAGCAGTTCGAAAACATGCAAAATGTGAGTAGATCAAAAGGTACCGCGCCAGCAGGAAGGTAGCGGTGCTCCATGCAGTCATTACCTTGGAGGTGTCTATAGACAACGCCTTTGGCTTAGACCAGGGGTCCTCAAACTTTTTAAACAAAGGGCCAGGTCACAGTCCCTCAAACTGTTGGAAGGCCGGATTTTTATTTGAAAAAAAAAACATGAATGAATTCCTATGCACACTCCACATATCTTATTTGTAGTGCAAAAAACACAAAAACAATACAATAATTAAAATGAAGAACAATTTCAACAACTATAAAATTATTAGTATTTCAATGGGAAGTGTGGGTCTGCTTTTGACTGATGAGAGTGTTGTTGTTGTTGTTGTTGCTTTCAAGTAGTTGTAGACTTAGATTGACCCTGAGTGAGGGCCTGGTAAATGACCTTGGAGGGCCACATCCAGTCCCTGGGCCTTAGTTTGGGGACCCCTGGCTTAGAGAGTCAGACACAACTGAACTTAATGTCAGGGGAAAACCTTTACCTTTACCCTTACCAGCTTTTAGGATTTCTGAGAGTTGAAGGCCAAAACATCTGGGGACCCACAGGTTGAGAACCACTGGATTACAGTGAGGGATTCCTTCCCCCAGATTCCTAAGCATGCTTATCCCAGAAGGGGCTCTGTCTTCACTCTCCTTCTTTTGCTACTATCTCCCCCCCCCCCTTTTGTAGATGAAACAATGTAATCTCTGTGAGGGATGAGGTAACTTTCTCTTTAAATATATTTTATTGCCCTCAGTTTGGCCAGGTGGTCATTCTCCATTTTGGCCCTTTCTCTTTCTGCCTTTTGTCTTCCTTCCAGTCAGGAGGCATTTTGTCTTTCCCTAGACAAAATGTAGCTGCGTGGATAATTTTGTTATTTGTATCATTTCCTTAAAAGATGAGCTTAGCAAGCTAGTTAGCTCCAAGACCCTTTCCTATCTAGAATGAATTTCTTTTTTAAGTCAATAAATATATTTTGGAACCTAAAAGTTGTGACTCTGCAATCCTGATCCATCCCCTTGAGTGAAAGCTAATCCTATCTCACCATACTGTAAGTTTCTGCTGGTTATGAACTGTGCTTCTGGCACTCTGCTATATTTTTATGGAATCACCCCAAGTGAGGGTTATTTTGAACCTAACAGCTCAGATTCCCAACAAAGTTGTAACTAATTTACAAGGCCATAAAACCTTCCAGCAGCTGCAGAAGAATGAGGAAGTACTTCATCAAAGGACTCCATGTCACAAATGGACAGTGAAGTGGCAGCTCCCCCTGTGGCTGGAATCGAGCATGCCCTCATGAAGCCAGAAAGCTGGAATGTTAAATTGCCTCTGTCTATATATGCTGTGTGTCTAAATGGCATTGAATGTTTGCCATATATATGTGCCTTGTAATCCGCCCTGAGTCCCCTGCGGGCTGAGAAGGGCAGAATAAAAATACTGTAAATAAATAAATAAAGTCCAAATTCCTGTAGGAGGCTGTTAAAGGCTCCTCCTTAAACTACAAACCCCAGAATTCTGCAGGAGGCACAAACCGGATTTTAAGTGGATTCATTCTCTAGTGTGATGAGTTGATTGGTTTCAATGTGAGTGAGAATCCAACTATTACTGAAGGACAACCTTTTTATAGAGCTGCATCTGAAGAAGCTCACTGAGCCCAGAAAGCCTTTTTATTTCCGCATCCCAGCTTTCTCCCAATGTGAGAGAAAATTAAAACCAAATACAGTTAAAACCGTGGATAATCCAAAAGTTTAAAAAGCCCATTAAATATACAGCTATATCCAAAAAATTAATTAAAAGTCAATTGAAATACCATTATGGTAAAAATAAACTACTCCCCAGTTAAGATCGCCTCTCCAATGGACAGTTGAGTCCTAAAGTTAATCCAAAATTATCCTCTCCCTCGGGGGGTTTTTTTCTCGGGAATGATGCTGGATTTCTTCAGGAACCTCTATTATATTGGAAGATTGAGACAGACAAGAGTTCTTTCTCCCACCCTGGACATTCCACAGATATATAAACCCCACTTGCCTAGTTTCCAACAGACCTCACAACCTCTGAGGGTGCCTGCCATAGATGTGGGTGAAACGTCAGGAGTGAATGCTTCTGGAACGTGGCCAGACAGTCTGGAAAACTCACAGCAACCCACATCCAACTATGGCCGAATTTATACTGCTCTGTATCCCAGGATCTGATCCTAGATCTGAGGATGCCAGGCACAGATGCAGGCGAAACGTCAGGAGAAAATGCTGCTGGAACAGGGTCATGCAGCCCGGAAACCAGATAACACCCAGTGATCCCATATTATGTATATTATCAGTGTAGACTCATAAAATCCAGCTCAAAGCAGATAATTAGAGGTCAGATTCCTCCTTCTCCGTTGTGGCTGCACCCTGGGAGAGCAGTCCAGAGACACGCGAGGAGAAAAGAGGGAGGGAGGGAGCGGGGAAGAGAAGCTCCTCCGGGCAGGACGAGTTCGGCCTCTCCCTGTCACTTCGGATCAGCTCAAGCCCCACGCGAGACGCGGCCTCTCACGGGGCTCGCTTCCTCGGGATGGCGGTGGCTCAGCCGCGTGGCAGCATTAGAAGCCGGAGAAAGACAAAGCCGAGCGAGGAAAGAAAAAGAGCCTCCTTGAGAGATTCAACCTAGCAGCTCATTTCTGTGTCTACTTGAGAGGTTGGAGAGGTGGATCCGTCCCTCTGAATCCGACTATATTGTTGCAGTAATGCAGTTTGACACCACTTTAACTACCATGGCTCAGGGCTATGGATGGACCGGAGAAGTTATAGCGCCTCACCAAACTACAGCTCCCCTGATTTTATAGCACTAAAGTGGAGCCAAACTGCATTTCATTCATCAGTGTAGATGCTTCCAGAGCCTTTCCACTTCTGCTCGACTAAGGCCTGCAAGTCGCTTCTGGTGTGAGAGAATTGGCCGACTGCAAGGAAGCCCAGGGGAAGCCCGGATGTTTTTGATGTTTTACCATCCTTGTGGGAGGCCTCTCTCATGTCCCTTCATGGGGAGCTGGAGCTGACAGAGGGAGCTCATCAACGCTCTCCCGTGTTCGAACCTCCGATCTGTCGTTCATAACCATCGCTGAACGGTTGGATCCAAAACAATGAGACTGGTGATTAGAATCATAGAATCATAGAATCAAAGAGTTGGAAGAGACCTCATGGGCCATCTAGTCCAACCCCCTGCCAAGAAGTAGGAATGTTGCATTCAAATCACCCCTGACAGATGGCCATCCAGCCTCTGTTTGAAAGCTTCCAAAGGAGCCTCCACCACACTCCGGGCAGAGAGTTCCACTGCTGAACGGCTCTCACAGTCAGGAAGTTCTTCCTCGTGTTCAGATGGAATCTCCTCTCTTGTAGTTTGAAGCCATTGTTCCGCGTCCTGGCTTCAAACTACAAGAGAGGAGATTAATGTGTTGTCGAAGGCTTTCATGGTAGGAATCACTGTCTGTCCATGTTCCAGAAGCATTCTCTCCTGACGTTTCGCCCACATCGATGGAAGGCAGCCTCAGAGGTTACGGGGTCTAGAAATTAGACAAGTGGAGTTTATGTATCTGTGGGAGGTCATACAGACCGGAAAACGCACAGCAACCCAGTGATTCCGGTCGTGAAAGCCATCATCATCATCATCATCGGGTCATCATCGGGTTTTCTGGCTATGTTCCAGTAGCATTCTCTCCTAACGTGTCGCCCACATCTATGGAAGGCAGCCTCAGAGGTTGTGAGGTCTGTTGGAAATTTGTAAAGTGCCTTTGCTTAAAACCAAATGTTCCCTAAAACATGTTAAAATTCATATATATATGAATATATGTATATGTGTGTATATGT